GTTGGAGGCGTATGAATTTTAAAAATATTGAAAATCATAGTTTGTCACAGGCCCAACCCGCCTCGACTGTGCCTCCATGATGAAAGGTATCACTGACACTGACTTGGTGACAAAGACTTCCTACGACAACTTCGGGGATGATTTCAAGCTGTTTTTCTGCAGTTTGCGTTTGTGGTAAATGAATTGGTCGCTTTCAAGCACAAGGGGGCTATCCCAAAAAATGCTGTTGTGAGAAAATCGAAGGTAAGGTTTTTGCCCTTTGTTCAGTTTCTTTAAAAGACACGTGGTGTTTTCTCTATAACCAAACAAATATACACACCAATGAAACCAAACTTCTCCTATAGGTAGGACAATGCCCACTTTTGGAGTAGGTCAAGATTTCTGGAAACCCCCGAAATCTGGGTTAGCCCGCTTGTCCTTAAAAGCGACCAATTGTTCTTTCACGGTGTATACGTGGTATCTGCTAAGATGTTTCTGCACAAATCTTGGCATTTATTACTACTTCTTAGCATGAATCAACCTTTATTACCTGTATTACCTGTCCTGAGCAACAACGTCATTGCACACCGGACAGGTCCATAAGTGCTCAGTTCCCCCCAGCACCAAAGCCCACAAGGTATCCATACTGATTGTTCCAGTGGCTGTCTGATTATGGCGATGTCTTTCCTTTCCAGATTACAGTTCCGTTCTTCCTTCTCCTTTCTCTATCCCCATTTCCTGCATCCTGAAGATGACGTTCTTTTCAAGCCCCACGACGCAAGCTTAACTTTGAACAGTACCTCGTGGGTGGTTGGCGGGTGCTCTGGTGTAGTTTGCTTCTTCTTTCCTATAAAAAATCTATGGTCCTTATCTCTCCTCCTTTTTTAATGTTTGTTACTCTCTCGTAAACACCTCTAATCTTCGGCACTTATATTATATGACCTTATTGTGTTGCAAGTGCCGTAAAACACTAACTAAAACTAAAACTAAAGAGAACAGTACCACTTGCTATCACTAGAATACTCACATGCTAGTATAATCGGCCATGACTACTGGAATGGAACTCGTTTTCGTTTTTTATCCACAATCTCCTTATCGACCGTTTTACCAGCATCGAAATCGATTCAGATATATATGGCCTATTTTCCTTTATTTTATACAGGCCTACGCTTTTTTTAAAGTATAAAATAATATATCACATCTGTTTTGTTTTGTTTTTTCTTTTCAAGCGAAAGTCAAGATAGTCAAAAGCTGTTTGTTTGGTCGACAGTATTTCCAAGAAGAAGGCTCTATGTAAAAGGAGAAGCCCCCCCCCCCCCCTCGGGCGATGCCACTGACTGATGTGTCTTTTAGTCATTCCCAAAATGACATTAACTTATTTTTATGCACAGTAGAATTGTAAATGGGCTGATTCAACAATGTCATTCTCATAACTGTGCCTGGACTGCAACAGGGAACTGCTGCTTTTTCTTTCCTCATCCCTGATATCGTCATTTTTTTCTGTATTACCTGTATTCACCTGTCCTGGGCAACAACGTCATTGCACACCGGACAGGTCCATAAGGGCTCAGTTCCCCCCAGCACCAAAGCCCGCAAGGTATCAGTACTGATTGTTCCAGTGACTGTCTGATTATGGCGACGTCTTTCCTTTCCAGATAATCGTTCCTTTCTTCCGTCTCCCCTCTCTATCCCCATAAACAGGGGTAGGCCACAGGAAACATGGAGGAGATGCGTGGAAAAGGACATGAGAGAAATGAAGCTCACTTGGAACGAGCTTGGAAGGATGGCTCAGGACAGAGATAAATGGAAGGAGCTTGTATGTGGCCTATACCCTGCCAGGGGTGAAAGGCATTGATGATGATGATCCCCATTTTCCGCTTCCTAATGATTGCGTGGTGTTCTGCTGTCTCGCTGTCTTCTTCATCCCGCAACTTTTCCTCTACTTTTTTCTTCTACTTCTTTTGTATGTTTGTCACACTCTTGCGACCCGCTATTTCCGGGGTGCCTTGATAGTCGAAGCAAACTTTGTGCTGTTGAAGCTAGAGAGGTGAGCAGAGTAAGCCTGATTCCCTGTAAAGACTTTTCTGTTGACATCCAATCCTTGGCGCTCACATAATATTATGCAGTTGCGAAAGCCGTAAAACCTATACTAAAACTTTTTTTAAAGCGAAAGGAGAACATGCAAAAGATATAATCATGGAGCCCAGCAAACTGAGCTCTGAATCACGTGAGCTGCTCAGGACAACTGTCTTGTGCTACAGTCAGTTGCGAGAAATGTTTTGTGTTATAAATTATAACATAGCAATAACAGAAAAGGGGAACGTGCATCGGTTGTGAGAAATGCTTTGTGTTATAAATTAAATAATACAGCAACAACAGAAAAGGGGAAAAATCAGAAATCGAAAACGTTGACAAGAAGGTCAATAATTTAATAGTGCTGAACTATTTGTCGGCATAGGTTAAGATAATATCTTTTTTGAGCAATATCCACATTTTGCGCACGCAATCCTCTCGTCCTGATGACACAATAATTATCTCCCCGTGTTGTCTCAGAGAGACAGCCTCCGGGCAAATGTCCGACAGTGCAGGTTTCCAGAGCATGACGTGGCCTGAGGCTGACATCGACCTGGGTGGGGGGGGGGGGGGGCGTGACAGTTAAAAGGCGGGAGAGTTACAGTTGGAGGGGTAGAGTGTTACAGTTGAAGGGGGTAATTACGGCATCGATATCAGCTTTGCGCAGCTATCTCTCAAAGAGCAGGTCGTTTAGTAAAACGACAAATTGTCTCATATTTAATACATTTTTGTTTCTGTTTCTTTTTAAAATTTAGTTTCGTTCAATGTCAATTAGAGGTTTTTTTAAAGGTCTCATGTATGTTTTCTGTGTACATAATTGACTATTAACCGAATTTTTTTAAATTATTTTTTTTTGGGGGGGGGGGGGGGGGAGTTGTTTTAAGTTCAGGGACTAATTAATTTTGAAGCTAAAGTTTTCTTTGGTCACAAAAAAAAAAAAACCAGAACAGCGAGGGTGACGACAAGTATAATGAAGTAAATCACAAAATCCATCTTATCGGGCAGATAATAATTGTTTAGCAAATGTTCTCATTGTAGAAATACTGGGTGACAATTACTGACAATGACAGCCGCCATCAGAAAGTGGGTGACCTGGTGGCAGAAGTGCATACTGACCTAGAAGGAGACAAGCTACTTAAAAGCTTCAAGTCTCAAGTTACAAGTTTGTTCACAAGTTTGCTCTCATCGTTAGGTCCTTACCTGAACGCCTGCCCCGTCAACTTCCACCCACATCGGCTCCAGAGGCTAAGTGAGTAGTGAGTTTAGACTCAAGTAATGTCAAGCAAGTGTCGATGCTAGCAAATGTCCATGAAAAGAGAGGGCAAAAGCTTTAGTCGGATCTAGGATCTAAGAGGTTCATTTGTTACGGACAAACTGTAATTTTTAAATATTCTTTGTAAGTGTTTTATGGCGCTCACAACTGCATAAGGTCATATGAGCGCGCGGGACATATTAAACATTTTTCAGATGGTAGGAAACGTTTAATTTTGTCCAGGTGGGTGGCGGCCGAAGCCTACTCTTATCGACTTTGGACCACCAAGAGATCTTTAACGTGTGCAACTTGCAGACGGGACCTCCAAGATTCTTCGCCCTTGTCCGAGAAGGCTAGGTGTAGATCTTTCCTACCAGAAGATCAGGGGTGTGGCAGAAAGACAGCAGTAAGAAGGAGCCAAGTGGTAGCAGTAGAAAGGCTGCAGAAAGAGTCAGGAGCCCAGAAGAGGGGGCAAAGGAGGTGAGGGGTGGGGGCAGAAAGTGGAGACGAAATCTGCAGTTTCGTCTAATTAAGGTCGGCACCCGCTTTTTTTTTCTTTTTTTTAAAAACAGATTTCAGTCTCGTGGGAAGTTGTTTTGTTTTTTTACCTGAACATTTTGTTTCGCGGGAAGATACATAGTTTCTATTTTGTTTTGTTTTGTTTTTGTGTTCATCCTGCAGTGGCGTACGAAGTGAGGTTTCACTCATTAGTAGACAGACTGTTTCAAAATAATTGCTTTAGTTTTAGTAAGATTTTTGCGGCACTCGCAACACAGTAAGGTCATATAAGTGCCGAACAATAATTGCTTTGCCAATAATAATTATATTAATATTATCAATTGATCTAGATCTCACAAAGCGTCATGTCAAGAGAATAGATGACAACCGGATCCCGAAGCAACTTGTCTATGGAGAACTAGCCTAGGGAAAGAGACAAAGTGGAAGACCAAAATTGAGGTACAAAGACACCTGCAAAAACATCTTATCTAAGCTTGGAGTAGATGTTAACACCTGGGAAGAAATAGCTGAGGACTGGAAAACATGGAGGAATATTATAAAGGGAAGAACTAAAATGCTAGAGAGCAGCCTTAGAAACAACCAGGCTGAGAAGCGCCAACGACGAAAGGAAAACAGCGGAAATACAGAGCTTCGATCTACGTCACTGACATGCAAGCTCTGAGACAGAATCTGCGCTTCAAACATAGGAATTAGCCATGAAAGAAGCTGCATGAAGAAAACCTTGAGACCATCTTAAGCTAAATTGACCGTCTGCATAGACGAAAAGAGCCCTATAGATCTCACAAAGCGTCATAAAGGGTGGTCCGGGCGTTGTTCAATCAAACTGACCCGACAGGCTCGCTCACCTCGAGTGGAAGACAAAAGGGAAGCAGAAATCTCACAATCCCCGGGGCAGTGCCACTGACTGTAGTATCTTTAGGCCATTCCCAAAGGGGGGACATTTCTCGTTCAAGCACAGTAGAATTGTAAATGGGCTGATCCATCATGTCAGTTCATAACTGTGCCTGATCTACAACAGGGAACTGCTGCTTTTTCTTTCCTAATCCTTACTATTGTCATTTTCCTCTACTTCTTTTGTATGTTTGTCACACTCTTGTGACTCGCTATTTCCGGGGTGCCTTGATAATTGAAGCACACTTTGTGCTGCTGAGGCTAGAGAGGTGAGCAGAGTAGGCCTGATTCCCTGTAAAGCCTTCTCTGTTGACACCCACCCCTTGGCGCTCATATGACCTTTGCGAGCGCCATAAAACCCTCTACTAAAAAAAAAATCTCACATCTCGCTGTATACCTTTCGGGGTTTTTTAGGTTGTTTTTCTTCGCTTTTTTGTTGTTGCCCCCCGTTGGACTAAAACGTAACACCAAACAGTAAGGCGTATACCGCACCTAGACAAATCTGTCTTTAGACCGTTTAGTCAGTTTTGTCGCCGAATTTCACTTCCACTTGAGCCGCACCGCGCTAATACTCTAGCGTCTTAAGACTTTGATATTAACGATTCGTTTTGAGCATGGAATTGACAGAGATAGCATGTGTATGTGCTCTGTTTTTAAATATCTGCTAGAATAATCTTTCAAAGCTGTATTGTACAGCGAAGGTTTGCTTTCAATTGTACTTATTAATTTCTCAGTCCAATTGACGTCAACTTCCATGATTAATTTTTAAATATTTGCTGATGGTCCTTTCTCGATGTGCACAGAATGTAGTTTGGCGTAAAAACGATCAGAAACTTAGGTCTTTTACTTTAGACTGATATTTTTATTTGAGGGAACAAAGGATATTTGTTTGTCTAAAAAGCATCGAAAGGTCAACACTATTAGTTTGTTTTATATTATTTTGATTTGTTTCGTTTTGTTTTCCCCCCACAAAGCCTCCTACCTACCATGACTACCTTGTCGACTCTCGTGGTAAGCACGTACTTGGATCACAGCCCAGAGCCTGACTTCACCACCGTCGTCATGTCATTTGGAGGGTCTGCCATGCCCGGCAACATCCCCGGCAACATGTCCGGCAACATGCCCGGCAACATGTCCGACTGTGACTCCTCATCGCCCTCTGTCGGCCCGGGCTCTGTGTGCGTGGAGAGGAAGGGCTTCATTGACGCACACGAGGCCTTCACCTTCAAGCTCGTGGTCGAGTTTATCCTGCAGGTTTGTCCCCGGCACAGTTTTTTGGGGTTTTTATTTTATTTATGTATTTAATTGTTTCTATTTTAGTAAGAGTTTTACGGCATTTGCAACACAATAAGATCATTAGTTGCTTTGTTTGGGGTTGGTTTTTGTTGTTGTTGGGGGTTTTTTTTTGGGGGGGGTGAGTTCTTTTTTTTTGGGGGGGGGCATCTCTTGACGGAAAAAATATGTCCTAGACTAATTGAACAGAGTCCTGAATCCACAAATGTAACAGAAAATGGGTTTTAATAAGTCTAAACAGGAAAACGGTCTTCCATTTTCAAAATGCTGTCATTCTCCCTTGACAAAGCGTTCAAAACCGACGTTTACACCAAGGAAACTCTGCGACAGGGCATGCAAGAATTTTTTTTAAGTTCATTTTTCTCCAAACGTAGAACCTTTAAGGGGTGGGAGTTATAAATTTTATCATTTATCCTTAAAACTAATCTCCCCAATCTCCTTAAGGTTTTGCATTCCTGTTGCTAGGTGTTTGGTGCTCCTGCCTTCAGACATTCCTAAGCCTAACCTTATCCCTAACCTGGCACCCACAACCCCTCATATGGACCACACAAAGAGCAGCTCAGTTTTCGCATTGAATGCCCGTGTCCTGAATCTTGCTCGGTACTTATAATACTTACATACATGTACTATCATATGTACGTGGCTGAGATCAACTTTGACTCTTGCTTGTTTTGGTAAGTGTTTTACGGCGCTCACAACTGCGTGAGGTCAATATGAGCGCGCGGGACACATTAAACATTTTCAGTTCGCTAGGAATTAATTCTGCCCCGGTGGTGGCCGAGGCCTACTATTATCAGTTTTTGGACCACCATGGGATCTTTAACGTGCACGACCTGCACGCTGGGCCTCAGTAATCTCCTTAGAAACCACATTTCTGTTGTTTCTATTTTATTTTTACTTACTCTACTACATGACGACAAATTATGCTGAAGCAAAGGTCGCTCATAACAAGAAAGTTCACTCAGCCTAAAAGATGTCCGCGTAAGTCCGCGCATTGCTTCAGATGGCGCTGTAGTCTTTGTTTTAAAGCTCTCTTTCGTTTCTCCAGAAGAAGAATAGGAATAGCACTGTTTGTTAGCTTTGCTTTTATGATTTTTCACACAGGTAGGGTAACTGTTCGCAAAGTCCGCGCTTTTTCGAAGAGGGCGCCACCGGATTTTTAGGACACTTTTTTTTTAATGACTCAAAGAGAGGAGCGAACCATCTTGTTATGTACGATCTTTGGTTGAAATATCGGGTAGATTTACCCTACTACATGACGACAAATTATGTTGAAGTACCTGATACCCTACTACAGTATAATTTCCCTCGTCTGTCTCCCCCCCAGGTCATCATCCTGAGTTTCGGCATCAGCTCTAACGTCGTCAACTTGGTCGTCTTCGCGAGGATGAGGCTGGAGGACAGCGTCACCATCGTCTTCTTCGCTCTGTCCATCTCCGATCTGGGATTCCTCACCTTTTTTCTGTTGATGCGAATGTTCAGCATAATGTCTCAAGCGTTTCGGCTAGGCCCGACAGTCTCGATGGAAACCATTGCCTACCTTCTCGTCTGGTACTCCTATATGTTTCTAGACATTTCCATAATCACCACAGTGTTCACAGCCGTGGAAAAATGTTGCTGCGTCGCTATTCCTTTGATGTTCAAGAACGTTTTCACTCGTTCCAGAACCCTGATCATCTTGGTGTGCATTTACGTCATGATGTTTGTGTATTATATCCCGACCTTCACGAGTCACGGGCTAAAGATGACCTTTGACCCCGCCAGAAACCGGAGCAAGTACGTGTACTCCTATGTGGCTCACCGTCTGATAGTCTTTAACATTTTCAGAATGTTCAACCGAGTGGTTCTTCCTTTTGTGGCACAGGTCATTGTGCTTTTCTGTATGGTCGTGATGACGGTCAAACTGCAACAGGCGACGAGAAAGCGCAAGGAAATGACGTCAGAGAGAGATGCTGACGTCACAGAGAGGTCAACTAACAGCAGAAAAGTCAACAAGAGCAAAAGCTCAGCAGACGCCAACAAACTCGGTGGGAAGGAGATGCGTGTGGTTCAGGCAGTCAATCTTGTGGCGGCCATCTTTGTTGCGTGCAACCTGCCGGAAATCGTCATGACTTTTTGCAACTATTTCTTCCCCGAGTTTAACGACTTCCGCCAGTACAAATACCTGAACAGAGTTTGTTCCTCACTGCAGGAGCTCATGGTTGTTGGCAATGCAGCTGTGAACATTTTTGTCTACTTCAACTACAACTCCAAGTACAGAGTAGAATTCCTTCTCACTTTTAGGCAGTTCTTTTGTCAGCGCAGGACAAGAGAATGAATGAGAAGCGAATCTAGAGATCATACGATTGAGTGTCTCTTTGAAGAACTATCCACGAAACTAACGAAAGCTCGCATCTTTCTTTTTTTATATAGATTAATGAAACCTTTCAACACTTCTTGCACACATCCTTCATTTTTCTAGAAGGTTTTGTTTGTTGTTGTTGTTGTTGTTATTGTTGTTGTTGTTGTTTCTTTTATACGTTTTGTCTTTGTTTTGTTTTGTTTGACTTGTGTTCTGTAGTTGTTTTTTTGTTGTTGTTTATTTGTCTGTATGTCTCTTGTCCGTCTGTCTGTCCTTTTGTAGGCTTGTATGTGTGTTTGTTTGTTTGTTTGTTTGTTTGATTGTTTGTTAGTTTAAAAGATGATTTGCTTTTGATGGTAGGATAACACGAAATGATTAATATTACTTGGAACTGTGTCGCCTGTACTTGTGTTGCAGCCTGTATTTTCTCTCCTTTAGCTGTGTACCGTTTTGCTGGGTATGTGCAGACTTCAACATAAGCTAAGGACCACTTGTAAACACTCTGAGTAGTCTTTATCGGTCAACCTGCTCGTGGGCGTTCTTGGACTGATCCAGTGGCTTGATGGCGCTGCCTCCGGCGGACAATGACAGAGTGTGACACTGCAAGCCTTCGGACTACTTCTCGGGCTCCAACTCCATCATGCAGCCATGCCACAGCTTTGGCACGATCAAAGTCTCTCAGCGTTCGTCTGGGCGGCACGTTGATGCGATACTGGATTTTGCGCAAACGGCGGCATATATTGCCACCAAAGTGAGCACACTTCGAGACCGTACGTACGTTTATCACGTGCACCAGAAATTTTAACTGAGGAATCTCCGTGGTGTCGCACACAAGGCGATTAAAAACCAGTAAATTTGGCTAAAATTCCTGGAGGATTTCCGTGCAGACCGTGATGGTTTTGCCTCTTTTGGAAGCATTGCAGTACGCATTGGCAACCCATTAACACTAGATTCTATCAGAGAAAAAAGTTTTGAAACATTCCTTGCTGTCTTTTTTTCTGATTTTTTAAAAGTCAAGGCTGTCTGTCTAGGTTTTCCTTAACTTATGGTGAAGTCTGTACATGTATTGTGTATCGCACAGAAGTCCTTATGTTGACAAGATTAGGCGTAATAAATATTGCAGAACAACACGGTATTTGTCAAAGCGTTGTTTTTTTTCTCACTAGTATGTAAGAGGATCATGTGCATGAATGTGTGGTAAAATACGTGTGTGTGTGTGTGTGTGT